TGCCCCTACATAGTTAGCATGACTATCACTGCCCCTACATAGTTAGCATGACTATCACTGCCCCTACATAGTTAGCATGACTATCACTGCCCTACAGAGTTAGCATGGCTATCACTGCCCCTACAGAGTTAGGTACTAATTTCTGACTGGAATCAGTGTCATAGTCATGGTAAGCCTGTTATTTTATTTATTTTGCTCGGACTACTTGTAAGCCCACAGCCCGCCAAATGTTGCCATTATTGTTAGTATAGTAGAAATTTGACCCATTCAGTAATAAAATGTCACAGGGGATGGTATGGGGGGGTCATTTAAGAAGGGGGATCCCCCCCCCAACTCGAGCACTGTCTACACCCCAGAAATGGTTGGAACAGATGATGGTGGAACCCTTTATGCAGCTGGAGAACTACAACGCTATGGCGCTATCATCTGGGCGTTTCCACTGGTTAAAGACATCAGTCATAGTTTTTGTAACCTGACCTGAACAGGAAAGGCTTATTCAAATATCAGAGAGTTAGGGACATGTGCTCTGTGCCTCACAGTGAGGTGTATCTGATTCCAGCTGTGGCAAATAGTGAGAAAGAAAAAAGTAAATAACTTGCTTTAGTAAAAAGCAGCAAGATTAGAGATGTATTTAAATGAACAGGTTATTAGAGGAGAGCTGAGTGTTCAGCTGAATGTCGGAATAAAAATGTGTTAGAATGGAAGCTTTTAAACCTAAAAACTGAAGGATTATGGGATAAGTCTGTTATTCATATAAACAAGAATAAGTTAGTATCCTAGTGAATGTTTTAAAGAATTTGAAAATTCTTTTTAATTTTCCAAACAGCTTCAGGTGTTTTAATGAAGTGAGGCAATAAATCCATTTTTTTAATCTGTTTGATTTGGGCTTAACCCTTTATAGGGCAATAACTTGCCCTATAAAGGCCAGTGAGCTCTAATAGCACAAGATCTATATCAGGCCATTCAGCATAGATGCTGCTACATGGCTGTACGTCTTATTTTCACCAATTAGATGAGACCTTGAATGATAAATTACCTACTGTAAGTTAAGTTTAGAAAAATAAGTTAACAACTCAAGAAAAAGGGTAGAAAGCTGAATGAAAAGCTTAAAAGTAAATTAAAAAAGTTAATAAGCCTAGTTAAAAATTAGATTTAGGTTTATAGACTATAAAATGTAAGTGCCAGTATCAACATTAATGCCTCTAAGGTTTTGCTGTACCAAAAAAAAAAAAAAAAGTGTTTCTTTCATTCTCAGAGTGTTTTTCATGATTTTTTTTTTTCTTAGAAGCACTTATTTTTTATATATATAAATTCAGGCAAGTGTGTGTTTCTTGTTATTACATTGACATTCATTTTTGCCATCAAAATATACATTTTTATTTTTTATTTTCCGAAGATAAGGTCTTCTCCTAGATTCCAATAAAAGTAGTGGCTGAAATTTTTGATTTTCCAAATATTTCACTGAGTTCCCTATGAAGGTTTAAACCATCTGAGCTGACATGTTTGTATTTCTGGCCACCGTGTGGCCTGTAGGGGGCAGCATCGCTGCGTTAAGCCAGAAGAACCGACCAAGAAGAAGAACCAACACAAAGGTTCCGTTTCCTGTTGAAAGATCCGCGCTGCACCATCCCATCATGTAAGCCTCATTATTTATTATTTATTTTCCTTAAAAATCGTGCTCAGTCTCTCAGGTTTAGTAGATCAATTAATTTCTTCCTGGTTTTATTAATGGGAAGGAAAGCTGATGCGATGTATCCATGCTAGCCGCTGCGTTAGCTCCCAGAGCTAACCTGCTAAAGATGCTAGCCCTGATTGTGTTTTTAGGGGGCAGCTGTGAGCCTTCTGTCCAGCTGCAAACTCCCACTTATCTCACTTAAATATAATTGGGTTGTATGAGGCGGATTTTTCTCGCTGAAACGGATTTAGACCCATAACAGGCTAACCGCCACCGGATGTAGTTTGAACTACAACAAGGCGCCATCTCAGAATCTGAGTTCTAGATATGAACCAAGCAGGCCCGCTTTGAGTCTAAGATCAGTCCAGCCCAGCATCCAGCCTGGCTGAAGGACCTTCAGAGAAAATACAAAGGGAGAATAATATGTTGACTTAAGTTGCACCACTGCCATTAAAAATTAACGTTTTACAGTAATTCCCCCCGTTTTCATTTCCATTACAGATCAGATCCTGATCAGAGAACAGGACTTTAATGCAGTTACAATCTCAGATCCAATAATCAAGTCTCTTGATAAATATCCCAGCTAAAATTTAATAAATTCAGTTTATTTCTATAGCATCAATCCACAACACGTCATCTCAAGGCA